CCGGCTGGCCGCCCAAGCAGGTCTGGGCTGCTTGGAGCAGGATGTACCTCTGTGCAAACACATCCTGCGACCGTCACGCTGCCCCGCACCGATACCTCAGCCCATGGCGTCCCCAGGCACGCGTCCCCGCTGCTGCCCTGCTTCAGCACTGCACGCCGGTGCCAGCCCTCGCCCGCATAACGACGTGGTGGCTGGCAGCCGCTGCCGCCGGCCTCGATCCCCGTCAGATCCCGGTTCACCTCCAGGAGAACGGACATTTCAGATAATAAATGATTTTAAAACCTCCTCTCATTTCCTCCAGCCAGTTTCCAAGCTTTGTCTCAGTGACAGGCCCTGCAGGAGGTGGTGTCATGTCCCCAGGGCGATGCAGCCCCCCCACTGCCCACTCTGCTGCCGTTCCCTGGGGGGATGAGGATGGATGGGGGCATTGGCCATTCTGGAGGGGGGAACGACAGTCCTGCTGCATCCATCCCACCTCCTGCCCGGGAAGTTTCAATCATGTCTGGTCGCACCAGCTGCTTTTTTTATCCCTCATCAGCCAAGTAGGTCATGATCCAAATTCCTCAAGAGGGGGTGGTGAGGCACTTCCAGAAAATAATAAAACCAGTTACAGGGAGGTGTTACAGGAATTTTAAACCAGGGAGATGTAAAGAGCTGGTGCCTTGGCAGGGACACGTTGGGAGGACGTCACAGCGAGGGAACATCTGCGGGGAGACTCCCCAGGCAGAAGCCTTCTCACTCGCTCCTTTAACCCTTCAGAAATGGGATGTTTTACAGCACCGTGCCGTGCAGAAGTGCTGAGCAGCAAGCTGAGAGGAGACCCCACAGCTCCCCTGCCCCAGCTTTCCCTTCCCCTGGGGTGGAAGCCAGCTCGCAGCAGTGATGCTGTGCCCAGGGACCAAAACCACCAGCACCCACCGACAGGTAGGTGTCAGGATGGGGGGGTCTCCCAGGGTCTGCCCCCCCACCGGCTGTACCCTGTGCCATGACCCCCGCCAGGACCACGACCTTTGTCGTGCCTCCCTTGCTCAGCCAGCACCGCAACGCTCAAGAAAAAGGCAAACGGCAGCAAACGGGGAGAAACACAGCATCCTCAAAACATCAGTATGTCCCAAATCCACACCAGGATCCATGGACACCCCATCTCCATCCAGCCGGAGCACGCTCCAGAGCTGGGACTGCCCTCGCCCTGCACCGAGCTGCTCCAGCCTCGAGCATCCTCCACCGCCGTCCTTCGCTAGCTCGGCTCCTATCAGCTGGACCACAAACATCCTGCTTTGGCTTGCAGCTGTCGAAGGCTGCCAGCGCTGTCTTGGTAGCATAGGAGAGCCCCTCAGGCAGGCAGAGAGCTGCCCGGATGCTCTCTGCTACCACGGAAGAATATTCTGTCAGGAACTAGCCCAGCTGGGCCGACACGGGCCAACCCGACACCTCTTCTAGCCCTGCCACCAGCTCCCACGCGGCACAGCAAAACATCTCCCTCCTGCACCTCGCCCTTCCGTGACCAGGCAAAGCCGTGGGGTTGTTCCTTTGCAGGACCAGCACATACCAACCCCAGGCACTGCTGGAACCTCCTTCCCTGCGAGCCCGCGGACCTGCACCCCGCACACGGAGCGTCCCCCAGCCCAGCACTCTCTGCTGGTCCTTCATCCACGGCAGTTTGCAGGAGGCGCTCACATTCCCACCCCCTTGTCCATCACAGTGCCACGGCTGCATCCCACGCAGAGGACGGCAGCTCGCTTCCGAACGCGCGGTTTAGCCTGGTGCATCCCCCAGCATCCCCCAGCGGGGTCCAGGGCTCCAAGCCCCCCCGGCCCT